GGAAGGGCCCCTTACGCGTACCTACTGTTGCACATAGATACATCCATGGAAACAACCGCCGTCGAGCTGTGACGTCAGCATGCGCATGCGCACGAAGGCTCCCATGTGGGAGAAAATCCCACGTCCTGGCATCACTGTGGAGAACAGAACGCAAGACGCAACACAACAAATGACTATAAACTACAAGAAGCACAGCCTTCATTGCTTGTACACCCACGAGCAAAGTCAGTTTCCCCTAGAGGAAAAAGTGACATAGGGGAAGGACCTCCTACTATGCTCCTACTTTTTAAAATGGGAATTACTGAAATTTATACGAAATTAACATTCATTTTAACCATATTTAATATAATTCAGTACTTCAATTATGTTTACCAAGTGGTAGTACGTCCCTCCTCTATTCCGCACTTTCCTCTAGCGGAAGTCGAGGAACCAACACAACTGTCATGTATGACGTCTAGCCTATACGTAACATGTATGCAAAATTATTTGAATTGCTCCTTGTTAATAAGTTGTTATTGAGATATCCGAATATTAATTTGGCATAAATTCCAGTAATTGCCAAAACTAAACGGTAAGAGGCCCTTCGCCTACCTCACTTTTTCCCCTAGCGGAAGCCGAGTTTGCTCGCTGGTGTACATAATAATGCATATATATACAATATATTCATAAAAACAATATTAAACGCAATAACTTTTTTGTACGCGAAAAAAAACTAATAGGTCTGTCGGGACTACAACGCAAGACTCCACTCTAATACGTCTACTTTACAGCAAACGGACGGAAGAGAATCCGTTCACGACCATGGTCCCTTCGATGATTTTCCGGCGTACCGAGCACTCATGATCTGACAACATTGCGTACTTTATACTTGTCAACACTGTAGAAGTTAGACTAGTAGAGCTCGAATGGATTTAACGTAGTTCACAAATTCACCGTTCTCATAACGTAGAGGGCAGCAGAAAATCCCTGACTTTTTACACGATCGGTATTTCAGAACATGAGACACGAAGTCCCACAAGATGATAGGTCTATCCTATACCTCGTCGGTGGTAGAACCCAGGTTTCCTTCCTTAACATTTAGTGCATACACACATCAGCTTTGCGCTGCAAATCGTCACCATTTTAGGCGAGAGTTGTCGATCCATAGTCATCCGTGATTCCCAGTTACACGCAAGCGCTTCATAAATACGCAATTAGGTTAACCAATTGCGAAAGATATACGTATTCAGTGAAGTGACATTTATATTTGTACCTGTTGAAGTTAAATGATGTTTTCTTCGCTAAAACAGTTTTTGACTGATTCAAAGTTTTCAAGCAACTTCGTAAGTAAAAAAAAATTAAGAATGGAATAACAGCTTCAATTTCTATATACAAGGTGTAACAAAAATGTTGCAGGTACCTGAAATGGGTCACTCGTGAGACGATTTAGAACAAGTTTTTGAGGCTTTGTTAACGAGATATTAACGAAAAATCTCGTCCGCTCAGAGTGCGAGTATACCGGCCGAGCTCCTGCGGTAGCGTTAACAAGGTCTCCGATAACATTTTTGCTAAGGAAAAACTGGTTCCAAATCGTCACACAAGTGTCACATTTTAGGGACCTGCAACATTTTTGTTACACCCTGTATATATTATAGTTTTTATAAACAACCTTACTCATATACGTAGTAAGCATCTGAAGCGCTATCCCGAAATATCTATTTTAAGAAATGGATTTCACGTAAAAAGCTTCTGATAAAACAATTATACCACTGTTTGATTACAAATCTTACTTTGATTGAAGATGTACGTCAGTATATTGCGAAGGGGAACGTAACGTAAACACCGCTTGTCGTACTACCATACTACTTGCTGTGATCAATCAGAAAAATGATAAAGTTTTTGGTCTGTTTTAATAATTACATTTAATTCATCACATTTCGCATTTGATACAAATATTAAAATATTACTTTTTCCTGTAGCTGACTTTCGGTGTTGGTTTTTATGCTGGTATATACGTTACTCAAAACTATGAGGTTTGTTTAATCATCTGTCATTTCTTAATATAACAATCATTCACATGGATGATCAAGTTTACATATTTTCTAAAAATATGAAGTAATGTTTATTATTATATGAAGTAATGTTTTATTTATTTTAGGTACCTCGTGTAGATGATCCTTCGAAGATATTGGAACGAGTAAAGGAAATAACTGATCAATATAGAAAAAAATAATAATTTAATTGAAAACATGTAATGTGTTCTAAACGTGTTTATATGTAATGTGGAATTCTTTATAATTTATGCATAAAGTAAAATATACTTGAATTTACAACAGCAGTTTGTCTTAAGTATGTACGTACATAAATATTTTTAACTTAATTGCGATTTGCGTCATACATATATAAATCCACCACCAGAATATTCTAATCTAGCTTGTGGTTCTACAAATGCTAACCAATCAGATGCATGAGTTGGAAGTAATCCCATCGATTGACATTTATACAACGCCAGCACCATATTTACCAATTGCCCCAAAAAATATACAAACTTCTGACCGAAAGCATGAGTTCCTCCAATCACTTTGAATGCTGAAAAGGTAGAATATTCACATCAGATTCATATGTATAAACAAATAATTTGATCACTTTAAATTTATTTCTAAGATAAACTTATACATAGTGTCTTGGAGTTAGTAGTACAAGTAAGAACAAATTTATTCTATATGGAAGAACAAATTCAAAAACCAATATACAATTTTTTTAAACACAACTTCGTTTTCAAGAAACATGAATTCAAAAGTTCACTAGGAACTCAATGCTTCAGAATATGACTCGCTATCATGTCTATTACTCACTACTTTTTCTTATAATACTACATTACCTGTTTTCCAGTGATTTAATTATTTCTTAATTGTTAATTTATATTAAGTTGTAAAATACCACTATTACTGTTTATAAATAGTAACAGATGTAATAATAACCAATAGTGCGCAGACATTAGAAGCTATAGTAGACTCCCTTTTAATCAGTCCCTATGGGACTGAACCTCTGGCTAAGTAAATGAATGGTTGGTTAATCCAAAACTATATATCAAATATCATTTATAACATTCATATAAATAAAAAATTGTACTGTTAACCATTTAAATTTAAACAATGTCCAATTCATTAAAAAGTACAGTTAGTGATATGTATGTATAAGGGACTTAGTAAATTTTGTATGCATTTCAAAATTAAATCCAAAGAATGTATCGACTGTTTTCCTACTGGAGCTCTCAATAAAAATGTAGCTGGTTCAAGCGGGATCGAATAAGAGGGGGTCTACTATATATGGTACACAAGTGTATATGTATCAACTGAATTTCCAAAATTTGAAGTCAGACATATTCTAGCCAGTTAATATTTGCTTAATTATCTGTTTTATATTCACTAAAACTGTGTTTAACACTGACATATAGAACTGACATTACACATGTATATTATTTAAAATAACCAATTCATGTCTCTCCACATGCAATTAGGCATGTTTCCATTCAATATCGACAAGATCATAACTGACTGATGCTAACAGTAGTTTCATCTCTATAACAAAGCAGAATTAACCCATTGTTTATGTTATTTTTAGTTTTGAAAATTGCCCTAAATACACTAGGAAAATTTGTGGGTTAGAATGTTTATTAATCATGGCAACATGGATAACCCATAGATGTCTACATATATATTATACATATACATCTAAGGGTTAACCCTACGAATACCGTGCCGGAGTCATTTCTAATCTTTTTCTATCGAGAACTCGCCACCTTCTTCTATATTTAGTCTCTGCATTAATTGAGAAATATGTTCAGTTCATCCGCGTTCGAAATATCACATCTTTCAAAGAAATTATTTATTAAAAAATTTTTTTAACAAAATATTATTGCACCACATTGCGTTGTCATACACAAAGATTGTGTGTGGAAAATTTGAGCTCGATAGCTGATCAGGAAATAGTTCAAAAATCGATGGCAAAGTTTTGACCATAGCGATAAACACCATGAGCAAGTGAAATGAAAACATATAATACAAATATGGCACTTTATTTAAAGAAAATCAGTTGAACTTGAAATTTCTCTCACCATAGCACCTACAAACTACATATTCTATGTAATGTCCCCCTCTGTACATAAAAACTTTCTTCGTAACAATTTTTCATATTATCACTCGCTTACAAAATATTTAACAATTCTCAGTTAACTCAAATATACTGTAGATGCACTTTTAAATCTGTTAGTATCAATCCTTCAACTCGTAATAAGTACAATAAGTTTACTTAAATTCTTGAATACAGAGTGGGGTATAATTCATAGTGTGATTTTAACTGTTACCAAAATTGAAATATTCTTTATCCAGTAATAAACAAAAAATGTTCAGTAATAAAAGAAAGTATAAAATAAACTTTTTTCAAAAGAATGTTCGGTTTTTAGAAAATTTTACTTAGTTCATTTTTCTAACCATAACTGATTATTTTCTACTGGTATCACAGTTTATAATTACTGATGATGACATGGTATTATTTTTTTCCATAATAATTTAATAGAAAATGATGTAACACAAAATAGTAAAATTAATGGTAAACAGATAATATAGTGCCATCGGTGTTTATTACAAGTGCAAAGATGAGTGGACGAACAGATTGCCCAGTCTTATTCAGAAGTATATATTCATGCTTAATCAAGTCTGAAGTTGTATGCTTTTGAAAATGAAACTCCACGCGAAAAAATTCAATTTACAATTATATTGATTTTATAACACCCTACATATAGGGTGATCCTCTCGCTGCGCAAACCAAAGGCTGTGCCGCTCTAAAGAACAGCTGCGTCGGCACATGTAATCTGTCGACCGGTCCTCACTGGGATGATGCCCTGGGGCCACACAGACACACGCTGACATGGCGGTTCTTTAGACCGGCACTGTAGTTATATTATAAGTGATAGATAAACTATGTGGACTCAAAAACCTGAGATATAAGGGTGATAAAAAAACACAGTGACAATCAATGGAGCTGCCGTATAAGGCGGAACGTTAGACTGCTTGTAGAACGTTACTGAGCAATTACTGAGACGCCGCAGAAATATTGACTTACGTCTTCGGCCCACTCCCTATTTCTTTTTCAGTCGTTGTCCTTTGTCTACCTGACAAATCTGCGGCTCGTTCGAGAAGTCGCGATTGTTGCGATGGAAGTGCAGAAACAGAGGACACAAATTAATTCCTTTAACATATTCTGCGCCACGTGAGTCGTATCCACCCCATGCAGAACTTTCCAGTCAGTCCAGCAGGCAGAGTTGAGTAAAATGTAATCTAATTACAGAATCTAAATTGCAATTACAACGTAACTTTTATTGTACATTTAGTATAGTTAACCACAATGTAATTGTAATTGTGAATTGGATTTTGTAATTAGATTACATTTTGCCCAATTCTGTCTGCTGGCCTGAACGGAAAGTTCTAAAAAAAATTAATTTGTGTCCTCTGTTTCTGCACTTCCATCGCGACAATTGCCACTTCTCGAACAAGCCGCAGAAGATTTGTCAGATAGAAAAAGGACAGCGAGTGAAAAAGAAATAGGGAGTGAGCCGAAGACGTAAGTCAATAATTCTGCAGCGTCTCAGTCCGGCCGTTTCCATATAATGTCACAAGCCTCTGTAATGTTCCGACTTATACGGCAGCTCCACTGACTGTCACTGTGTGCGTGCCTGTCGATCTCGAAACGGGTCAGAAAATAACTCCGACACCGTAGTCGGATAGTTAATATTGCCGTGAAGTAATAATACAATTCCCAGATGGCACATGATGCCTTGAAGACGCCCATTTTACAATTATTTTAAGTCTGAGACGCCTTTAAGCCGTCTTTAAGGCGTCATGTCCTATCTGAGCTGGTTCAAATAAGTTCAGACCTCCAGTAGGTTGGTCTTCTTCTCTTACAACATCAACAAGAAACACGAAGACCAACGTGCTATCATCTCTGAGGAATAGCTGATACAAGAGCGAAGGGGGAACATAGTACCCCACTATAGCATTCCAAGAGTAAACCGACAATTGTGATGAAAATAATTTCTATTGGAATTTTAGTTATATCGAAATTCTTAGATCATCCTCATTAAAGAATAAAACAAATATTAATTGACGATTAACATTTCTTAGTCAGCGATTAATGATTAACTTCTTCAATTGGCTGAATTAATCGCGAATTATTTGACGTTTAATTTTTTAATTGTAAAAGTCAATCAATCAATCAAATTAAAAATTTTCAATGATTAATGCCCAACGCTGCTGCCTGGTTATAATAACCGACCTGAGACACCCTCCTGTATATGTATATTGTAGGATGTTTATGAAGTTGGCATCTAAGGAAAGTATGTGTCCAATTTATATTGTAAGCTAAGTTTCACATAGTTAGTGATTACTTTTGTCAAATATGTTACAAACTGGGCTAAACTAATGACAGTAGGTGTGCTTCTCATGCTCCCTTATCCTTTCAGATGCTAACTCCTAAGTTCCCGTTGCTATACATATTCTACTGATATAGTGAAGTCATACAACTTATTTTTAGTACACATAGAAGCATGACAGGTAATAATAAATGGTTCATGTATTGGACTAAGCCTGTTGACAACAATTTGAAAATAAAATAAACGTTTCAAAGTTTTCTCAGGGCCATAGAAAATACCTTATGTATACTTTAATTTCCATTACTTTCATTGTAAAAATCAATATTCCTTAAAAGCTATATTTAACCCTTTTACTACAAAAGGCGTATATATACGCCCTCACATGTCTATCAGCATGTACGAAAGGCGTATATGTACGCTCTTTAAATTTTTCTTACTATAACATATTTACTGTTTTATTAAACTGATCTAACATAGATTTTTTATTCATATATTTTTTGTCAGCGACTGACATACGCATATTGCGCCGCAGTTAAAGGGTTAAATCAATGTCCAGTATGGGAACTGTTTAACCCTTATCCAGGCAATCTCCTTATGTATCATAGATGGGCAATTGGAATGTGTGTCCATTGGACTCACCTTGACCAGATAAGGGTTATGTGTTGCCATATCAATTGAAGACAGTCTGTAGAGACATCATTTGCAAGTTCACTATATCTTTCCTAGTCATAATATGTATATATTAAATATAATACTTACTTTGTTGAAGGGTAAATAATGCCTTTACTGGTCTAATGATCAACATACCAACCATCATAATAGGAAATATTGCTATAGAATTACCCGCCATATACATAATGAATAAATTCATTGGAACTTGTTTAAGGGGACCTAAAGCTAGATCCCATGATTTTTTCATTATCAAATGATTCCAATCTGTTTCTCTAATAGAATCTACAGCATGAAACAATGCTACAGCAGGTGTATAGCCAGGTGGAGCAGGAATATCCACATTTTTGTCTTGTTTACTTCTGCAAAAAATAATATTTCAGATTTTATATTTAGATTTAAAAAATTAATTAAAGCATTTTCAACTTAATATGTCTTTTTAGTAACAAAAATGAAATTTACTATATATTAATATCTTTTGAATGTAATACTTGTGATTCATAGGTAATTTTTTTTTATATACATAATATACATATAATAATTAAGTATTTTCTTAATTACACACAATCAGAAAGACAAAAATGGTCAATTATAATATAATTACAATAACAAAAATCAGTTAATGTGTCATTTTTAGAATGTAAGTGTAATAATTGAACTTTTGTAAAGAGTTAACTCGTCTTATCCTCTGCAGAAATCTCAAATGACGAGTTATCTTGTCTTATTTATAATTAGTTAACAGGTTAAAATAGTAGTACATAACCTAGTCTTTCTAATTATGTCCCCAATATACATAAATCAGTGAAGCACAGAATCTTTTAATAACGAATTTATTTCCTGGGTTCCATATTATGCACAATGCAATTTGTTTTAAATTTGTATAGTTTGAGACATCACAAAATCATTTTTTTTTGTTAATGAAAAATATAGAATTTAAGTTAATACATGTTACCACTAACTTGTGAGCAAAATCCAGAGCCCATTTAGATCGTTTGGTATTTTGTTTAACTGCCATCGTTACTTTTACATACAGTTTATATTGTTAATATTAATATTACTGTTCAGAATCATTCAGAATTGTACAAAACTGAAAAACCTTGACTCCTACTACGTAGGTAGAATCGGTAAAATCACTAAAATCTGGTAAAATCGTATGATCACACCACCACAACCCGACTGGCACGGACTTAAACCAACTCTAGTCTAGTACTAGCACTCTAGCACTACTAGCCAAGGCCGAGCAAACTCACGCGGCTTCCGCTAGGGGAAAAAGTGAGGTAGCGAAGCGAAGGCATTGATCTATATACTATGGATACGGGATTGTCATATAGCATCACTGAACTCTATACTACCTGGAATGCGCATTGCAGTGGGCAGAGACCAGCAGAGACGATCAAATCCGGCCCAAGAAAGATATCATGAAAGTGGTATCTGCATCCTTTATTAATGTGGTACTAACCTGTTGTAAACTTAGGTCTAGCAGGTATAAGCGTACTACCTTAAACTCATGCATACGACTCTACTTTAATACTGCATTTATGTAATAATTACATGTAAAAAAAAATGCCAGAATAAAGAAAGTACATTACATATATCTATGTTCAACTTTCAAATGAAATTAAATCTCTACACATATATACACATATACATATTCACGCTTAATGAAGAAAGAGGAACTCTTGCCGAATAAACCGTGTAAATGTAAACTTCTGTTGATGCGACTATATTTCATAGTGACATGTAGTAAGAATGAGACACAGATACCCGTTCAGTCGTTCTCTTTTTACAGGGCAGGCCGTTTTCTTATACCCGTAGTGCGCATTCCAGATAGTATAGACTGCACGGTCTTATGGGACTTATAGTAGGGATCAGGTTGGCAGTAGAGTGAGAGGATAATACATGGAGTCATGGACCTACAGGATGGTGCATAAAATACACTTCTGGACGCGTGGAGGCGGTACTCCATTTCAGCCATATTGGGCCGCTGTTGTGAATCTCGCCCTCATCTTGTAGCGGCGTCCAGCGTAAGCTCCACAAGCGTGAAATTCAAATTGAGGTATATGATTGAAATAGAAAAGGAGGTAGAAGCACCGACGAGGTATAGGATAGACCTATCATTTTATGGGACTTCGTGTCTCATGTTCTGAAATACCGATAGTGTAAAAAGTTAGGGATTTTCTGCTGCCCTCTACGTTATGAGAACGGTGAATTTGTGAACTACGTTAAATCCATTCGAGCTCAACTAGTCTAACTTCTACAGTGTTGTCAAGTCTAAAGTACAATGTTGTCAGATCATGAGTGTTCGGTACGTCGGAAAATCATCGAAGGGACCATGGTCGTGAACGGATTCTCTTCCGTCCGTTTACTATAAAGTAGACGTATTAGAGTGGAGTCTTGCGTTGTAGTCCCGACGGACCTATTGGTTTTTTTTCGCGTACAAAAAAGTTATTGTGCTTAATATTGTTTTTATGAATATGTATATATATTATTATGTACATTTGAGTAAATTATTTTATTATTCCATTGTTATTACAACAGTTTAACAGTGACAACGAACGCATGTATATTTTCAAATATCGGACTAA